AGGAATGCAAGGATTCTTTAATATCCGCAAATCAATCAATGTAATACACCACATTAACAAATTGAAAGATAAAAACCATATGATTATTTCAATAGATGCAGAAAAAGCCTTTGACAAAATTCAACATCCATTTATGATCAAAACTCTCCAGAAAGCAAGAATAGAAGGAAAATACCTCAACATAATAAAAGCCATATATGATAAACCCACAGGAAACATTATCTTCAATGGTGAAAAATTGAAAGCATTTCCCCTAAAGTCAGGAACAAGAGAAGAATGCCCACTCTCACCACTACTATTCAAGATAGTTTTGGAAGTTTGACCACAGCAATCAGAGGAGAAAAAGAAATAAAAGGAATCTAGACTGGAAAAGAAGAAGTAAAACTCTCACTGTGTGCAGATGACATGATCCTCTACATAGAAAACCCTAAAGACTCCACCAGAAAATTACTACAGCTAATCAATGAATACAGTAAAATTACAGGATATAAAATTAACACAGAGAAATCCCTTGCATTCCTATACACTAACAATAAGAAAACAGAAAGAGCAATTAAGGAAACAATTCCATTCACCTTTGCAACGAAAAGAATAAAATACTTAGGAATAAATCTATGTAAAGAAACAAAAGACCTATATACAGAAAACTATAAAGCACTGATGAAAGAAATCAGAGATGACACAAATATATGGAGAAATATACCATGTTCACGGATCAGAAGAATCAATATAGTGAAAATGACTATATTACCCAAAGCAATCTATAGATTCAATGCACTCCCTATTAAGCTACCAACGTTACTTTTCAGAGAATTAGAACAAATAATTTCACAATTTGTATGGAATTACAAAAACCCTCTGATAGCCAAAGCAATCTTGAGAAAGAATGGAAATGGAGGAATCAACCTGCCTGACTTCAGGCTCTACTATGAAGCAAAAGTCATCAAGACAGTATGGTACTGGCACAAAGACAGAAACATAGATCAATGGAACAAAATAGCCCAGAGACAAATCCATGCACCTATGGGCATCTTATCTTAGACAAAGGGGGCAAGAATATACAATGGAGCAAAGACAATCTCTTTAGCAAGTGGTGCTGGGAAAACTGGTCAACCACTTGTAAAAGAACGAAACTACAACACTTTCTAACACCATACACAAAAATAAACTCAAAATGGATTAAAGATCTAAATGTAAGGCCAGAAACTACAAAACTCCTAGAGGAGAACATAGGCAAAACACTCTGACATAAATCATAGAAGGATTCTCTATGACCCACCTCCCAGAGTAATGGAAATAAAAGCAAAAATAAACAAATGGGACCTAATTAAACTTAAAACCTTTTGCACAATGGAAGAAACTATAGAAATAAAGTGAAGTCACTCAGTTGTGTCTGACTCTTTGCAACCCCATGGACTGTAGCCCACCAGGCTCCTACATCCATGGGGTTCTCCAGGCAAGAATACTGGAGTGGGTTGCCATTTCCTTCTCCATGAGATCTTCCTGATCCAGGGATCAAACCCAGGTCTCCCGCATTGCGGGCAGATGCTTTAACCTCTGAGCCACCAGGGAAGAAATTATAAGCAAGGTGAAAAGACAGCCTTCAGAATGGGAGAAAATAATAGCAAACAAAGCAACTGACAAAAAATGAATCTCAAAAATACACAAACAACTCCTGAAGCTCATTTCCAGAAAACTAAGCGACCCAATCAAAAAATGGGCCAAAGAACTAAACAGACATTTCTCCAAAGAAGACATACACATGGCTAACAAACACATGAAAAAATGCTCAACACCACTCATTATCAGAGAAATGCAAACCAAAACCACAATTAGGTACCATCTCAGGCCCCTCAGAATGGCTGCTATCAAGATGCTATCATTTATTGTCTATGAACAATAAAATGCTGGGGAGGGTGCCGAGAAAAAGGAACCCTCTTACACTGTTGGTGGGAATGCAAACTAGTACAGTCACTATGGAGAACAGTGTGGAGATTCCTTGAAAAACTGGAAATAGAACTGCCATATGACCCAGCAATCCTACTGTTGGGCATGCACACCAAAGAATCCAGAATTGAAAGAGACACATGTACCCCAATGTTCATTGCAGCACTGTTGACAATAGCTAGGACATGGAAGCAACCTAGATGTCCATCAGCAGATGAATGGATAAGAAGGTTGTGGTACATATACACAATGGAATATTACTCAGCCATTAAAAAGAATGCATTTGAATCAGTTCTCATGAAGTGGATGAAACTGGAGCCTATTATACAGAGTGAAGTAAGTCCGAAAGAAAAATGCCAATACAGTAATTAATGCATATATATGGAATTTAGAAAGATGGTAACAATGACCCTATATGTGAGATAGCAAAAGAGACACAGAAGTAAAAAACAGACTGTTGGACTCTGTGGGAGAAGGCGAGGGTGGGATGATTTGAGAGAATAGCATTGAAACATGCATATTACCATATATGAAAGAGACTGCCAGTCCACGTTCGATGCATGAGGCAGAGTGCTCAGGGCTGGTGCACTGGAATGAACCTGAGGGATGGAATGGGGAGAGAGGTGGGAGGGAGGATCAGGATGGGGAACACATGTACACCCAAGGCTGATTCATGTGAATGTATGACAAAAATCACCACAATATTGTAAAGTAATTAGCCTTCAATTAAAATTTTTAAAGTAAAAAAATATAGATTTAATGTGGTTTTCCATTATAACAAAATTAAGAATATAATTCTGAAAAGTAACAAATTTGTATCAACATGTAGGTGGATTAACAAACCTTGTGCTGCATGCTGTGCTCAGTCACTTCAGTCATAACTGACTCTTTGTGACCTATGGACCATAGCCCACCAGGCTCCTCTTTCCGTGGGATTCTCCAGGCAAGAATACTGGAGTAGGTTGCTGTGCTCTCCTCCAGGGGATCTTCCCAACCCAGGAATCAAACCCATTATTTCTGGCATCTCCTGCATTGCAGGCAGGTTCTTTATCCACTGAGCCACTTGGCAAGTCCCAACAAACCTTGGTATATCAATATGATGAAATACTATTTGGCAAAAAACCTGAACTATTGTTGCCCACAATGTAATTCAACAAAATGATTAGGTACAAAAGAGTTACCTTGCATAATTCCATTTATATGGGTAAAATAATGGAAATGTTTAATATCTTGATTTTTGTGTTTATCAGTGTAAAAAATTTCCTAAACTCATCAAACAGTATACTAAAACTGAGTACATTTCTCCAAAAATGGGCAGAAGACTTGAACAGACATTTCTTCAAAGAGGACATATACATGGCCAATAGGCACCTGAAAAGATGTTCAACATCACTAGTTATCGAAGAAATGCAAAGCGAAACTACAGTGAGATATCACAACACACTGGTCAGAATGGCTGTCATCAAAAAATCCACAAACAACAAATGCTGGAGAGGGTGTGGAGAAAAGCGAACCCTCCTATATTGTTGGTGGGAATGTAAATTGGTACAGCCACTATGGAGAACAGTATGGAGGTGACAGAGTCAATTCCTAGGCAGATTGATAAGAAGTCCAGGAGCCCCCAAGGAGAGAGGGGTCTGGAATTCTCAAGGAGGAAAAAAGGACACATTTTTTTGTCCCTCTACATGCCTTAGGATTATATAACAATCATGTATCCTGCTTGAAGACAGTCTCTAGAAAAAACCTTCTGGCTAATCCTGTTATCTTAAGGTATAAATTATGGGAGTAGGTCTAGTGAGGTCTTTACAACCTCCAGACATTCTTTTGATTCACTGTAATAACTAATTAGAGAGTGTATAACTCCATGGCTAACACTAGCAAGGGGGTACCCTTTCTGCCTCCTTCTTATGCCTATGTCAGAAGCTTTATCTCCTTTATACTTTAATAAAACTTTATTACACAAAAGCTCTGAGCGATCAAGCCTCATCTCTGGCCCTGGATTGAATTATTCTCCTCCGGAGGCCAAGAATCCCGGTCTTTTCGTGGTTCAGCAACAACCTTTCATCTTGGGGGGCTCATCTGGAATTCTTCAGGACAAGGTAAGGATGCTTGGAGCTCTAGTTCTTTGTTCTCCTAGCAAACACGTTTTCTGCTGTACTTTCCTAACTCTGCGGTGTGCTTGTGTGAATGAATGACACACCCTGTGCAAAGAAAGTGAGGAGCCCTGCTCTGCGGTTCCACAGCGACTCATACGGCTTATGGCAGAAACCTGTCTGGGGTTTATACCGACCTGCCAATGCCAAGAGGCACCCAATGTCCCCTTTAGGGATCGACCAGAAATGTGCAAAGCATGTGGACTGAACTCTCCTTTCTTGGTCAAACTTTTTGGTCTCTTTGACCATTTCATAACTCCTTGGAATTAGAAGTGCTAACCTAATCTGTTGGATCATAGACTTTCAAGGGACTTGTGATCTATGCTGTTACTGCTTACTATGACTTAGGTCCCCAACTTGGATTGGTAGTCAGGAAGCGCCTAGACTCACTAGGCATGGAAAGTTTGGAAGCTAGATGGAGCTCTAGCTCCAAGAGCATCTCTGAGCTTAAGTTTAGTCTGATTGGAGCTACAAGGGATTTTTTTTTTCCTTTGGTAACACTGGCTCTTAGTGGACCAGAGGAGGCTCTTATATTGGTGTGGTAACGCTTGGAAGGAACATCTCAGTTTTATGTTCGTATTGGTCTTATTGTGGTCAGGAATATACTCAGGGTCCTGCACAGGCACTCAGGTGACAAACAGTGCCCCCAGTGGTTTAGGCTGGGAGGCATTCCAGAAGGTTGCTCTGATTGCACCCTGGGTGGCGTCAGAGGCAAGCAAGGTTTTAATCGTGAGGAGCTGGACGTCAGTCAGGGATGCCATCAGGTCTACCCCTGGTGCTTCTCCACCCCGTCTCAGTGGTAGAACCAGGAGGGACGAGTATGTCACCTGCATCGGTAAGGGACAGACTAAGTCCGACCAGTAAAGAAAACCTTTGGTGTAAAGTCTGTCTACACACCCATCTAGAGCAGGGAGGGATGCCTCCGGTAGAAAGAGGGCACTGGTTGCCTTTTTTTCCCTCTTAGAGATGGGAGCTAACAATTCCAGCCTCACTACTTTGAATTGTATACTGAAAAACTGGGATAGATTTGATCCTCAGGGCTTAAAGAAGACACACCTGGTCTTCCTATGTGATACTGCACGGCCACAGTATCCATTGGAGGATGGCAAATGGTGGCCAGTTAGAGGGTCTCTTAAGTATAATACTGTTTTACAATTAGACTGGTTCTGTAGAAACATATGTGTTGCCCTTTTTCTCTCTGAGAAATATGCCAGACTTATGTTCTAAGGGTATAGATTTGGGTGTGGCACCTTCAGCTCCCTCCTGTCCTCCTACTTTGCTAGATGAGATGGAGGAAAGGAGACAAAGAGATAAAGAAAAGCAGGCTTCTCCAATCTATCCTTGGGATCATATGCACAGAGCAGCCAGAGAGACTGAAGAACAGCCACACAAGCTGTTGCCTCTTCATGAAGCACCCACCGGGAGAAATAATCAGTCTATGAAAGTTAATAAGCCTTTTTCTTATCAAAAAATACAAAACATCAAGGAGGATCTGGGAAACTATTTAGAGGACCCCAAAAAATATATTAGAGCTTTTAAAGGTGTTACTCTGCTTTATGGCCTTACTTAGAAGGATGTGATCTAGATAATGGGACGAACACTGACTCCCGACTCAACGACTTGAGTTTTGGGAAAAGCGGTTGCTTATGGAGATGAATGGTTTGGTAATGAATCAGTAGGGAAGAGTGAGGATGAGATAACCGCCCTCCCCACTGGGAATCAGGCGGTCCCCACTACAGAACCAGACTGGGACTACAACACAGCTAAAGGACAATGGGATCATTTTGTCAGATGTATTCTTGAAGCACTCAGGCAGGTGCATGCTAAACCTTTAAACTATGGCAAACTGGCAGACATGGAACAGGGGGAGAAGGAAGCCCCTGGTAAATTCCTAGATAGACTGAGAGAAGCCCTTCGCAGATTCACTGAGATTGATCCCGAAAGTGAAGAGGGAAAAGTGATCTTAAAGGATAGATTTCTCACTCAGTTGGCTTCAGATATCCGCTGTAAGCTATTAAAACAGGCATATGGACCAAATCAGTCTTTAGATACTCTGTTACAACTGGCTCAGACAGTCTACTATGGTAAGGAATATGAGGAAATGAAAGAAAGCCAGAAAAAGACAGAGGAACAGGGGAAAGCCCTTGCAATGGCTGTGAAAACCATTCTTAAACAGCCTGAGAAAAATGCCCAGAGGGACCCACGTGAAAAGGGATGGGCTTGCTATTACTGTGGAAATGAGGGGCACCTCAAGTGGGATTGCCCTCAGGCATCTAAGCCGCCCCTGGCTCCATGTTCGGTCTGCAAAGGACCACACTGGAAGAGAGACTGCCCCCAGAGGCGTAGGTTTCAGGGGTCAGGCTCTCAAGACAATCAGGACTGAAGGTGCCTGGGGGTCCCCACACAAGCTCCCATCCTAATTTCACCTGAGGAAACCCAGGTATTAAAAACTGTGGGGGGCCAATCTGTCGATTTCCTTTTAGATGCTGGGGCAACTTACTCCGTGCTTACTGAAGCCCCTGGCCCAGTTTCTTCCCGATCTGCTTCCGTAATGGGACTGTCTGGATGAGCCAAAAGGTATTACTTCAGTGTTTCTTTAAGGTATAACTGAGACTCTGTGCTATTTTCACACGAGCTTCTCATCGTGCCAGAGCCTCCCTTCACCCCTTTTGGGGAAGGATATACTGAGTAAGGTCCATGCCTCTGTTTTCATGAATATGGAACCTTCCCTTTCTCTCCATTTAAATGAACAAAATGTAAATCCTAGAGTATGGGCTGATGAAAAATCTGTGGGTCGAGCACAAAATGCTATTCCTGTAGTTGTCAAGCTCAAAGACCCATACTTATATCCACATAAGAAGCGGTATCCACTGAAACCTGAGGTTAAGGAAGGGTTAAAACACATCATTGAGAATTTAAAGGAGCAGGGACTATTAATTCCCTGTAACAGTCCATGCAACACTCCTATTTGGGGTATAAGGAAATCAAATGGTAAATGGAGACTAGTTCAAGATTTGCAAATAATAAATGAGGCTGTAGTTCCTTTACACCCCGTGGTGCCTGATCCTTATACTCTATTGTCTGAAATTCCTGAACAAGCCAAATATTTCTCAGTAACTGATTTGAAAGATGCCTTCTATTCAGTGCCTTTGGCAGAGGAAAGTCAATTTCTATTTGCCTTTGAGGACCCTACGCAGCCAGCTTCTCAGTTAACCTGGACAGTTTTGCCCCAGGGGTGTCGTGACAGTCCTCACTTATTTGGACAAAGTTTGTCACGGGATCTACAAAACTTTAATAGCTCCAAAGCAGTGGTGTTTCAATATGTAGATAATATTTTTCTCTGTGCTGAGACAGAGGAAGCTTGTTCATGAGCCTCAGAAGACTGGCAGGCTGCAGTTACAAGGCATCAAGAGAAAAGGCTCAGCTTTGTCAACAACCTGTTAGAT